ATGACTCACTTCTTATGTCAATAAAAGGCCATACCAATTCTGTATAGAAAATAACATATTAAAAGTGTTCATTGGTGTGAATTTAGCTGCACCGCAGGATTTCCTGGCGAGTACCACTATTTCTTGACCAACACAAATGTCTCAAATAAACGCAGAAAATCGTATGTTACCTTCACTGATGAGTATTTTATTTAAGTGGGAAAGCTAAAGATAGACTTTCAATAAATTTTTTGCAGGAAAAGTCGGGAACAAAATTCATAAATTTACTAAATTCCCAGGGAAAGTTTTCCAATGCTGATGATGATTGATGAGTATTTTTATGGATGAGATGAAATTTGTCAGGCTCAATTTATGATAGAAGAACTGTGTTCAAAATTTGTTGCCATTTGTCTTGGCGCATGAGTAAATTAGTGAAACTACATGTGATTGTATTTATGATTTGTAAGTGTTTACGCTGCTCTTATGTTATTATGGTGAAGGTGCTGGTGCCGAAGTCCTCGACAATTTTCTTCACATTCACCTCCAGCTCAAATTTCTTTTGCTTATAGAAAGTTAGCAGTCGAAGTATCTTCAGGAATTGAAGAAAAAACTCCTGAGAAAATAATGTAAAAAGTATGACAACTAAAGCGCGGACCTTGATTCTTGATTTTTCAGCTATCTTACAAACCCTTGGCAAAAATCAGGATTTTTTTCCGGAAACGGATCCCGGAAGTGAAAGATTCCTGCTGTTGACATTCCGCTGGCATTACTCCCAGGCCAGGAAAGATGCTTTCTATGTTCACCGCAAAGTTTCACCCGTACCTGCCTTTTCTATGCTAAATTTTGATCAAAATTCGTGAGCTTGCTTGAGAAAGAATGAAAACTTGTATCTCTTTAAACTTTCCTTTTATTTTGAGAGCTTGGTTTTATTAAGTAATCGTTGGTCGACAGTTGTGCTTACTTTTGAACCACCCTATATCGGGCCAGCTTCGTCGAAATGATTGGAATTCCCTTCATTCAGCTTTTTCTGACTTGAAAATAAAATAATGTATTCCCTCATTTAGCCCTTGAATTATTTTTTTTCGGCTTTTGCACCCTCCACTTAAATATGTCAGATAATTAGCATACTAAAAAAAATAAGATACCTCAGGAATATGCGGATGACCATACACGTGTGGCCAGCGAGTCATTTTTCCACTCGGGGCATGTAGTATAATGCTTTGCAAATAAAGAGGAGAAAATTGCAAATCCATAAACCTTCCGGTAAGAACTGGAGACAAATGTTTGATTCTAGAAAAGGCTGATGAGCACACAATGACTGAAGAGAAAACATTTCATTGGGGAAGGAAAAAATCACTACAGGATTATTTTCTGAATGGGAAAGAAATGATTCACAAATGAATTATCCCCTCACCAGAGTCAATTTAAATGCGAATTTCATTCATCAATCCAATGCTGGAGATTTTCTCGTGCAGATGCAACATGTGTATTACTGGGTTCATTTTAGACATTTTGCCATGAAGTTCGCCGAATGGTAGGTATACAACGTGATATGCTTTTTTTTATACTTGTTCACTTAACTTTCAATCAAAAATGTCGAAGAACTGTCCAGCAGCGTCTTAAAGCTTGTGTCAGCCATGCACTGTAGGAATGATCGTAAAAAGGTTTGGCAGCAGTTTTTTGGTCTGTTCTTTTCTAGGGTACATACGAGGGTTGGTTCATGAAAGATGATAAAAAGCCGAATGCCGTCATCGGAAGCGGATGCTATTTTTTCTTTTGCTCCTCAATCCCTTATTGGTTTCTAATAATTGTTTAATCCGCTACTCGGCTACATATGGAAACAAGAAAAAGACCTGGAACACTGTGAATCCCCTCCACTGAAGTGAAGTTTAATTGATCAAGAGCAGCTGAATGCGCACTTGCATGCTTTAAGACTTTGGGGGCTAAACTTCACTTCAGTGCAGGGCATTCACTGTGATCCAGGTCTTTTTCTTGTTTCCATCTGTAACTGAATAGTTGATGAAACAATTATTAGAAACCAATAAGGGATTGAGGAGCAAAAGAAAAAATTTCATCCGCCTCCAATGTGACGGCATTCGGCTTTTTATCATCTTTTACGAACCAACCATCGTATAACATACAGAATGAAGAATTTGGATGGTCAGTTTAATTTCGTCCAAAGAAATGAGAAATCCTCCCACTTCATTTGAGAATTTGGTGCCTTATTTCATTTTATTTTATTCATGTTTGATTGCTGTTCCTTACGATTCTCGAAACACGTTTCAACCCGAATTTTTGTTTGTTTGAAGTAAGTTTTAAAAGATGCGGCCAACCCATGCAGGATTTTACGGGTCAAGTCAGATTTGAAGCATGTTTGTGTCTCAATTGCAGAAAACCTGATGCTACTTAAACTGTATTCCGGGCCTCGGAGCAATAAATGCTGAAATCCTGCTCGAGTCTTCGGCAATAAAGGAACTCGCAAGAACGCATCTTATTACACGTTCTATCAGAAGTAGGAAAAAATGAAATATCGTCACAGAGAGAAGAGACGAAAAACAAAGAAGTGCCTCAAATTTTCCTGGCCATGGATCCCAAATTTGTTTGATTATTGATCGATTAACTTCGATATAAAATCGATGCATCATATATATGAAGCCTGTTTCAGAGACTATTACAGAAATGGGACATTGTTTGCGGCATTTCAATGAAAACTTCTGACCCTGAATCTACAGCCTGCAAAAAAATAATTTATAAGAATTGACCGCGATTTTGGAAAAAATATTGACAGCAGCCTTATATACACGCGTGAAGATATCATCCCAACATTTTAGCATGCGGTCGAGTGTAGCATTCTTCCGTAGATCTGGAATTTGCATGTTGATGACTCCTGATAATTGCGCCCAATGTATATTTCATTAGAAGTTCTGGCAAGCGTAACATTTTTTTTTTTTAGATTCGGCTCTAAGTGTAACTTGAAAAACACACTTGAATGCCTTAGGTTCAGCTCCAGGAGTTGTGCGGCGAATGGACACGAATCCTTGGTGAAGTTGGAGGCAGCGCCAAAATTATTGACTCGTTCGAACTGGCCATGGTTGCAGGAAGCCCTGGTATCCCAATCAAAGCTGCTGTCATGTTCGAGGTGAGACTTAACTTTGCTTACTTAATTGAATGTGTGTTCCTCAATTGAACATTTGAATAATTTTTCATCAACGAGGTATGTATACCGTTTTCTCACGCAGTAGAGTATTTTCGGGTACAGTACTTGATTCGCGATGCCCAGATAATATCGAGGATAGTGTTTAAACCGACTCTTCAATCTATCACGTTGGTTCTTCTACTGAAACAAGACCTCCTTCATCAAAAAAATCAAACATCGAATGAAGACCGAGAAAAAAGCCATCGATACAGTGACTCGTTCTCTTTTTCTGTTCACTATCCATGCCTGACTTCAGGATTACGGCTTTTTAGAATTTCCTGACTCGAAATTCCCCAACTTCAGGGTAATGACTTTCTGTGATTTCCTGAGTACTCGATAGAGGTTTTGCTGGGCTAAAAAAAATCCCTACATCGCCTTTAATGATGTACTGTAGTTCGTGTTGTGTGTTAACTTTTGAAATAATTTAATGAATGCCCCACGTTATTAGCCGGTGCTGGTTCGGGACTTGTTTTTCCTGGTGAAAACTAAAGCATCCTTTTTCCATTTTTAGAGAATTAGATCGAATGCAGTACTGAATTGTGAAATTTTCCGAATTATTCGAGGAATTCCGATCAAAATTGTCCAAAACGTATCTTTTCCGAATGGGCAAGATGTGTTTGCTCAAGCTATGCTAGAATTTAGACCTTTTCACAAAGATTTATTTGAAAATCTAGGTGCGTTATGCATCTATATATTAGCTGGCGTGTCAACTTTTATGGCGACTTTCATTCTCTGGCAAATCGATCTTCCCTTCGATCTACACAATCTGAGACAAAAACTATTGAATATTTTTCGAAAAATCCTCGTCATTTGCGGGTAAACCGTGCTTGACTTGGACATTTTTATTTCTATTGGAAGTCTCTGTAGAGATGAAGCTGGTAACTGAAGAATGTGTCACATGGCGAGAAACCCCTGCTGATTTTGTAAAAAAAAAAAATTTAATTTATTATAGCAAGAGTACGCAATGTATTCGCAGGCAAAATCCCTCTCATTACACTAAATGAGACTCACATTATAATCGAATGCGTCAATTGCAGGATAAAATAAGGTGCTATTTTTGTCAGCCCATGAAAAGTCCATCTTCAAGTTCCCCGAATTTTGTTATGGATGTTTTTGCAGTTTGACGGGGCGGTGAATGTTTTGGCATGTCATGCAAGCCCTCTTGAAAATTTGAAACCCGGACATTGTCGGTTCTGTCGCCTGCACTTCAACAACTTGGGTGCACTGCATCCTACAAACGCTTTATTGGTGGATATCGAGGGTTTCGTGACGGGTATCGATTTTTTGCATCACGACGGCGAACACCTTTTCGTGGTATCTACGGATTCGGGTCCCTGGGATTGCGATGCCAACCAGGCTCAGATTTCGCTTTACCGCTTTCGTTCCCCGTATTTCACGGTATGTATTCTTGACTGATTTGAGCAATGTTTCAAGGTTTTCACAGGGAAATTAAATACTTCTATCAGAATAGTTTTTGTCACTCAGACAATTTCACCAAGTAAGTATTAGCGAGCGACGTCGGGGTTCTGAAGAAAAAGGTTATTATGGATTATTGAGAAAGAAGACGAGTTTTTGTTTCTGTTTCAAGCAATTCTTGCTGCTTTTTCATCTTCCTGATGGATTTCACCCATAATTATGCTCAGAGGACTGAGCTATAAATTACAGAAAATTTTTAGCCAAGGAGTGGCTTGAATTATAGCACAATAATTGAAAGTTTACGAAGACAGGAGCAGCAAAACAAAAACGATTGATAGTTCAAGGGATTTTGTTGGAAAATCGTAAATAAAATCATTGTAGAGTTCATCTCTCGTTCTCGCTTCGATTATTTCTGCATTGCTTGTCGAGTTTCCCGCGACATCTTGAATGTGAAAAAAATGAGAACCTCTGTAATGCTGCGCACGCGCAAAAAGTTGCTGTACCAAGCATTAGACCAAGTTTGTCTTCCGAGACACGTTGCACTGTTCCGTTGTTGAAATTTGATAATTGACCTTTCTTTATTGTAGCTATTGGCTAAATCGAAGCTCAGTTCCACAAGACCGAGGAAGGTCAAGCTGAGTGACTTTGAAGGAAAATTGAAAGTGCTGGTCGCAGCCGAAGACGGTTTGACAACGCATGAAATACTCTCCGATGATCTCAGAGGCCCTTATGAATTCCGCACCGTAGGCCAGATTATACCAGCGAATGGTAAGTTAATTTACGAAATTTTCTTCCTATTTTTCCAATTTCATGTGAAACAAGCACATTGATGATCAGTCTAGAAAAATGAAATGCATGAGAAGCCGAAACTGAACGTATGACGGAAAACGTAAGGCGGAAAAAGTGTTCGGAATTCTGTGTAAGAATAGCAAAGAAGGGAAGAAATGAAAACACATATTTTTCATTTTTCAAGGATGAGTATCACTTTAATGATCTCATTTACAACTTTCTTTCTTTCGGCCAATCTGATGACTATCAATTGGTGAAAATTACCTTTGGAAAATTGTTTCAAATGTATGAAGGAACGAGGGCATTAATACGGACGTATGATTCTTTTGTACACTACGTAATACAGTACATTACTAACATTTCAGATGAAGAGGAACTTATATCAGATTTTTCAGCATCTGTTAATTGGAATGGATTTTGTATTACTTACTCTATATACTGTTGACAGTGCAAGCAATTACTAAATATCTTATCTAATTGTGAACTATTGTGAACAACAACAATAAAGCAGCAAAAAAAATCAATATTTTATGTTGCCTCAATTACTGCTTTACAAAGAAAATTTTTTGCTTTATGGTTTTTCTTTCTCCCCACAAGATGCAAATTTCAAAAGGAATTATTCTTCAGATTGAATATATACTTAGTACTGTGTATCGATGCTTTGTTTTGTTTTTCAGGGGATTTTGATGTTCGAGCCGCAGTTCCAGATAATTCGCTCATCACATTTGCTGCTAACGTGAATGATCGAAGTACCGAAATTTCCCTTTACAATCAAGATGGGTTCGCACTAGCTGAGCGCTTTGCAACCAGCCCAGTTTTACAAGCTTTTGATGTTTTCCCGTCTGCATTTGGCACAAAATTAGTGTCGGTCGAGCGGAACTACCAACCAAATATCAAAATTCCACTTGTACAGGTATGTGCAGGCATTTTTATTTGTTATTTTTGAATCGAAAACAGTAACATGTGTTTTCTATTGTGCAATATTTTATTATTTAAGAACACCTACTGTTGGGGTTATTTTGCAATTCCTTTGCAACAAAATACTGTTGTGCCCTAAAAAGCTTTGTCGTTGCAATCGTGGTTGTATGCACAAATCAGGAGGGAAAAAAGTTCGTTATTCACAAACCAATATTTTTAGCAAGCTATAATCTGACCCAAGCAAGAAAAAAGAAACTCAATCGGTTGGATTCCAGGAATAAATACTAGCATTTGAAACTTTTTTGGTTTCTAACGACATGAAGTGTAGGGTATTATGGGAAAATCCAGCAATGAAATGAATATACTGTATTACCTTTCGAAATTGGGGATGTGCTCAATCTAGAATCCTTAATTGGCATTGTCACAAAAAGCAGAATCAACCTTTGTTTTTTCCAACGATGATCCAGAATTCTTTCCACAGGTGGTGCATGTGATGAGAGATACTGAAGGGTACCGGAAAGCAGCAGAAATCCAGATCTATTTACGGGAATTGCCCGATACCCACAACCTCAGACATCCGGTGGATGCTAAGGGATTCAGCATTACAAATGATGTTACTTACTTGGCGATTGCTGTTGATGGAACGAGCATATCGATCCATCAATTACTTGGTGAGCACCTGCTTCTTTATTCATGAAATTTTTTCAATAAATGTTGATTAGCCTGGCAGCTGGTCAGTATTGT